ACGCCTTTACTTCCAGTACTAATTACTCTACCACCAGCGCTGCCACTAACACCAACTCCGCAGGCATAATCATATCTTCCCTTTACGGCCACCAAGCACTAAAATCATTCAACGGCCTGGTTAATTTTTTGTAAATATATCTCTCCGGAACCGGCGACTTAGTATCAGGAGCTTCGGCATACAGTAGATATGCTATCACAAGAAATGTTGAGCGACATCATGGAATGAGTTTCCACTTCCAAAAGATTACTTTTGTAGGGTTTTACTATTAATTTTCGTGTGGCATAATACCAAGATGTTCCGGTTACGACAGGATGCCGGCCTATGAACGCGTTTCTTATAAACCACCTGGATAAAGTATATTCCGTAAAAAATGACTACTTATGTAGCGTGAAATTTTACCATGGATTTTGTATACTCCTATAAATTCCAACATATTTTATAGAAAACACACACGAAAATAGTCTTTTTACTCCTTCGGTAGCAAATTCGTCTTCTTCAAATTTTATACGTAAATCTATCTTAATTTCCGAATAACTTCCAGCGCTACCTGTCGTTACACTTGCATTCAGGGTTTCAGATTTATATGATGCAAACGTTTCATAAAAGGAAAATCATAAATTCATATAAGCCTTTCTAGAAAGGACATGTGGTGCTCATAAAATTGCCCAATGGATGTGGACCAAATTGTTATCTCTGTAAGAAAAATTAATAAATGTGCTAATACAATGACGTGCGATTGGACATTTCGCAATTTTTAAAAACCTCATAACTGGAAACTGTCTTAAAACACGAATATACTCTACCTTCAAGTACACAAGTTAAAGAAGAGAACAATCTGCTACCAAATGCTTAAAAGAAAGAATGTTTTCGTGCATGTTCTCTATGATATATATTTGAATTTATCAGGATATTGAAAATCAGTGGTAAAAGTTCATGCCACCTGAGTAGTCATTTACTACGGAAGGTCATTTACGCGGAAGGTCGATAAGGAGTTCGTTCCGAAGCTGGCATCCTGCCGTGACCGGAATAACTTAATTTTATGTCACATGATATTTGACATTACGGCCCTACTAAAATAACCTTTTGGAATTGCGACTATATTTCATACTCTTAGTCAATATATTTCTGAGATAGTACACCGGTCGCCTCTGTCTTATCTGTCTACACCATCCCAGGGCAGCCGGTCATCACATGCGTCTGTTCATTCATATGCGCCAAAACGAAAATCTCCGACACAGCATCGCAGTCCCGGTGCAATCAGCACACCTCGCCCTACCTTTTCACACACCTCTCTAGGCTACATATGAGCCTATACCCGTCACTCACGTAACAGCACGTATTTCTCCTGCCGCAACCCTGTGATGCACTTCGTCATCAACGATATGGCAGGCGAAATGTTGCATGACAGAACATGAATATCCGCATATGGGAAGTATATACTCTAGTGTATTGCGACGCAGCAATTTTTGACTAGGTAGTGTGTGGCCCAAGTAGACGGCATGTGCATCGCTTGCAGTCATTGTACCCAATTCGGTGCCCTCAAAACGGGCCACGTTTTAGATGCGCTGGACCAACAAGGGGGCCACATCGTACTCTGGCAGGCGTTATCTGTGCGCAATAACAAATGCCAACATTTACGGGGTGCGCTGGCAGACCCTGTTGTCAGCAATGGTTGCACAGCTGGACCACTGCCATCACCCCATTGTGTTGTGGTCAAATCTTGGTCATTTGTGTGTGAACCAGGTGGTGTGGTGGGACGCCAAGGTGAGGATCCGTCCGAGCCATCCACCTGCGGCCTCCCTCGTCTCCGATCTTCTTGACTCTGTCTTGACACCGAGCCCAGGCGTGGGAGGAGGAGAGAGTGTAGGTAGATGCAGCGCAAGTCCACCCGCACTATAAACCCCTGCGCAAGTCACCGTCCCTGCTCCCACCGTTGCAGCTGCAGCCGTGGGGCACACGGTGGACGTCATCGAAATCGATGGTCGAACTGTCGTCGTATTTAATTCCAGAGTGTAGCCGACACCCGGGACATCCATTTTTGCGTCAAATCAGCGCATTCGTGAGTACAATAAATCTCACAATGAAAAGTCGTTAGCAGATACCTCCGCTGCTCATGTCTTTCACCACACAATGGTCCCGTGCTTTGGTGGAAAAAATGCCAGATAAGTTATGCGGAATTACAATCTTCTCTATCGAAATCTAGACATAGAATTACGTCGGTAACCTCCGTGGCCGCGACTGCGCTTCACTGAAGACGTCTGTTGTTTGTGGCTACATTTTGATATTTAAGCTTCATTTAACTGTTGGACAGGGTTAGAAATAATCAAACAGTCGTGCGCTTTAGGCATTATATGTTTGCTTAGCCCAAACAGTGGAGATCTATAGACCGCTTATGTATAAATTCCGAGTTGATCGGAACAAAACAGCCGGCCACAAAGCAAAGCAAATTAATAACTTTAAAATCCTTTCTGTACATTAAAAGCCAATTCGGACGTACAGATTCATTCGTGTGCACTTCTCGAATAAGTACGGTAACATGAATAGCCAGACTCCCACGAGAATTCCAACATCTTTCAGATTATCACCTTACATGGCCAACAAGACTTTCTGTATGACTTCATGTAACTTAACAGAAAAAATTGGCAGCATTCCCGCGGATAAAAGATACTAGCCGATAAGGCTGTGGGTGATCCTACTAAAGGATTTAGAAGACTGCTTAACAAGCTTTGGAGAATGACCATCGGGTATTGACCAGTTTAACCTGTTTTCTCTTAAGTACTTGATGATCCAAAGGGTATCTCATCAGACCTGCCGGATTGTGAGGAATAGGGACTGTGCCCTGAATTTCTGTTATTTCTTCGCCTTGGCCACAACAGCAAACCTGCCTGGGAACTTCCCCGAACTTCGAGGAGCTCGATCTCACCTGGGCGTCCGCAAGCACTCTTTTTCACAGCGAATTGCCGGTGCCTGAAACAGACTTCCCGGAGAATTGATAATGGCAGCCTCCACAGAGCAATTTCAAAAAAGACTAAATGTATATTTTAGAATTGCGGAAACATCCATTAAAAGTTCAGAAGGTAATTCGACGAGCATACGTCTGCTTTCGATAAATTCTTTTCGGGCCCGCAAATTAATAAGGAAATTGAAATAATGAATCGAACAATGCGGGCAAATGGACAATTATGCTGTAGCTCGGGTTTGGGGGAGGTAGAGCCAGAATTCCAGTAGGTGCCAGGTGAACGTGAGCTCCCGGAAGGGTAATTATCTGCGAGAGGCCGGCCTGGGGGCTTTCAGGCATTGCAACTGTGATATCTGTATGAAGTTCTTCTGTGCGCATTCAGTAGGTTATTCAAAGGCATTTCATGTTATCTTTAAATATACTGATCTACACACTTACATTTTAAGGGGTTAATGGAAACACCTGAGTAATTAGAGAAGTTGAATTATGTCAGTAGTTTCATATAAGTGAAGGATGCGCACTACGGAGGGTTGATTATAACTCTGTCGGGTAGAATAACAAGCAAAATGGGAGTGAGGCGAGGTGAGACGAAACGAGAGGACAGATTGGATTCGCAATTATAACAGCATAAACCCACTGGCAAATTTGGCTTGTCTCAGTCGCGGCTTTCTGAATAGAACAAATGATTTTGTACTCCGAGTGGCATGCTTAAAATTAAGCATTCTAATAGGCATGCCTATGAGTTAAAGAAAAATATAACACATTTTCTCGCATACTAATTAACAATCTCTTATTAAAAACGACACCTGTATGCTTTATGCATCAAGATAACCAATTGCATCTAATGATTCCGCTGCTTGCCTAAGCCGTAACGCAGACCCCTAATTTTTTAACTGTACCTTCGTTTTTATAATAACTGAACCATTCCATTATTAAGTCCGCCTAGCCTCCATTTGAGCATAGAAGAGGCGTGTATTGCATCAGAAAATGTGAGGAAATTGTATTTAAATTCAGTATTCATCATCAGTATTCATCAGTTTATTTATGAGTACCAAAGCGTTTCTAGGACATCTTACCTTAATATTTGCGAATTCCTCAGCAGTCAGTTAGTGCTTATTCACTTATTTCATACGCCTTGCAAAATGTAACTTCAGAGTTTGCATTAGTGACCTCAATTCACAGGACTAATCAGAGCGCTGAAAAGTATTGATGAGTCAGCACTAATCAGTAAACGCAAACTTCCACTAAAACATGTAGCATGATCATTTTGAGCAGCACTGTGTCTCCGAAAACGCTGATTATATGCGCGCAATAAACCGTGCCATCAAGCGAAATATATAAGAAAGTTTGTCCAAAAATTTTGGGAAAATCAGATGCACTCTAGATCATCGGCATTTTACGACAAAGGGGACCTGTGAAACACCGGCTTTTAATCTATCTTTCTATGCTCATGATGATCTAAGTGACAGGCTTATATAAAAACAGTTGGTGATCTGCTTAAAGGCAACCGTTGATCAGGCGTTTATTTCAATGCACTACATATCACGCAGAAGTTAGTCCGCCCACTCTCACTGCCTTGTCCATCATTTTAACGACAATGAATAAAGGCGTGTTTTTGAAGGAAACATTTGAATCTGGCTGTACGCTTCAAGAACCGGATTTATGGCTCAATTGGAAACTTCTGGCTCAACGTCGTTTAAGAGGTCCTGATAACTGAGAAGTGCGCCAGATTAAGGGTAGTGAGAAAAGGCGTCATGCGGTCATCTCCCTCGCCACATCCTTATAGGGTTCCTTTTCCGTTATTTCTTACTGCGGGTTAAGCATGTGTCACAAAGTTTACAACAGAGAGCAAATATTTCCAAAAACTGCTGTTAGAGGAAAATGAGCCTAGTGTATGTGAATTCGAAGTCGATTATTAGCTTCGTGCTCGCAAACTTTGTTTTCAAACTGAAGATGAGATGCTTATGGGCTGTCATCTGGAAACCTTCGGGCATTTAAAACTCAAGAAGACGTACGATCAATATATTTCGCACTATCTTTAAGGCGAGCTAGAGGCATAGAGTGAATTGTCAGCAATAAGTGGTTGAACATAAATATCTGTCGTTGAGATACCGTTGGCAGAATTTGTATTCAACGAAGGACGAGCCGATGTGTGATCATCGATAGTCGCATACGTGTCATTGGTTTCTCCTGGGATGGTATCATTGTGTTCGGGAATTGTAGGCGGACATAAGTAAAGTTTCGCCGGATGGCTTAAGTGAAAGTGTGAAATAGTGAGATGGTTATTTAGCAACAATTTCCATATAGACTACAGAAAAGATTTGTGCATGCTTTTCTGCAGTCTGTTATCATGAAAACAAATTCAATTTTCAGTGTTTCAGTGTAGCTTCTACGATAGAAAGTCATCATTAAGAGGGCAGACTGTCAGTACTATATTAACGGAGTAGCTGAATTTTCCTGGGCGTCGGATCAGCAGCAATTATTGGGAAATTACAGGCTGATCCTCTCAAAGCCTTGCCTATAGTAATTTGGATCTTACTTAATTGATCCGCTTCTTTAAAAATTATTTTCTTATTTCGGTCAACCTCTAGTGATGTTTGGCCCATATCGTGGACCAATTCCACTGAAGAGCCAGCTAAGGCTCTTGAATGCAAAAGCCCTGCCGCCCCCGTTGACGGAACACTGTGAGATGTCCAAATACATAGTAACTTTTAAATCCTTGCGGTGCATTGTAGATTTGGTTTCTATGTAGCAACACAGAGGTGCCAAAATGTTGGTCCAGGGGTTCAGGTTATTTACTTTCTATACTATCCTCCCCAACCCCATCAAGCACAGCCACGACGCGACAGTCAAAGTGCCTGCCAAAAATAAGGTCCTTGGAAGACCGATGCTAGACAGTGAAGTAGCATAGACACCTCCAAAGATGGAGGAAATGCAAATGACTAGACTACCGAAGAAAGTGAAACAGTTCAGGCGTGACTGAATGTTAGTCGAGAGCCTGATGAAGAGGGGATATAGGCAACTGAGGACTTAAAACTACCCTAACTTCATAGCATAAAAAAACAATTCGTTCTTTTCTTCATCTGTCACCGAGAACGATCAAGTTAGCATTAGGGTATCAGGATTCCACAGCTCGCCGAAGGAAAATTTAGCTATTGTGGTACGCAACTGAAACTGATTGTGGAGATGACTCTTCCAATGCCTTACAAATGCATGTCAAATATGCACGGAAAAGCGCGCCGATACATTATATAGTTCAATATTCTATATCAGCGGTCAACAACACAGTAGAAGCTTACTTATGTTCATTCAGATCGTTAGGGTTCTCAAACTTTGGCATATTCGGAGGATTTGACTGTTGTTTTTTATGTCTTCCTTGCATGATTTGACCCATATTGGTCCGCAAAACAGCAATCTTTGGTGTTGAAAATGTGGGAATGCAGATACATCTACAAGCGAGATGGCGGGATTTTCAGATTTTCTTTGAAAGCGTCTTCAGGAACTTCCGATAGAACACAAAAATCACATACATAAATAAAAGGCTAAAAATTTCAGAAATTATTAGGCTTAGGACGTGGCGTTACGTGTCCAGATCATGATATTTTAGGATCAGGCCCGTCATCTCAGTGAGCATTTGAGTCGGAGACAACTACTGTGGAATAACTGCGCAATGCTCATTCTACAATCATGCAATATTACTCTTAGTATAGTTCAATAGGACGGATGGTTATAACGTACGCCCAACACGTGTCCGAGTCTTTAAGTAGCACTTATTTTGGGAGTACAGCCTAATTACTTGCCATGCCGAATGATACTCCCGCTAGTATTACCTTTTTTAGAATGGACGCTGCATTGCTACTCCGCAATAATTGGCTGCCTTCGACACAAATGTCCACTGACACTTCAGGTCTGAACCTGAAATGTAATACCCAGACCACTAATCTGTATGTCCTGCGCTAAATAATTCTTGAAATTATAGGCCTGATATTTCACTGGAGCTCATATAGCAAAAACCTCATAAGGAAGGCTGGGGGACTCAGTGAGGAGCTGAAAGATCTGGTACAAAAATATTATCCAGAGACCAGCAGAACTCATGACACCAGCGACAAAAAAGGAAATTCTGTTTCTCAAAGGCCTCTTTCAAGGAGACGTGGCGAACGGACTCCTGAGAAGACGCCTCGATCAAACTGATTCATTAGAGTTCAGGTATTGCACTCGACCAATCCTGTTTTGAACAGATAAGGTAAAGGCAGGTTGCCAGATCAGGCTACTTCCGTGCGCATTTACTCTTCTACCTACTCTTGTAGGGTAGGTTATATTGGTCATACGAGTCGTCGCCTCTCCAAAAGATTACGAAAACACTTAGCATGACTGAGAAAAGACAAATTTAAGAGCATAAACAGTGCTCTCCTCGCGCACAATGTTTATTTGGGCATTTTGTGGACAAAAGCTAAGCATCCCGTGTGCTTTATAGGATCGAACCAACTCACCTTAAGCCATTGTGCCAGTGTTTGCTAGCAACAGCGGAGGTTACCGAAACCAGTTTTGTACACAGAAGAGCCTCGCGCAAACTCTCAGGTTTATCGTGGTCAAAGGTCTGTTAAGTGCATGATTGTCTCCGTGCCCATCCTTCCCCTTGACGCAGCCCAAAATGACCCCCTCGCCTTCTAATTCAAAATCTGCTATTTCGTGTTCCCCGCATCTGCACTCCAATTGTATGAAAAGACGAGCTCTAGGCGATATATTATCACTCATATGTTCTATATGTACCCCTTTCTCATATAAATGCACTGGCCTGGTGGGAATTTATCGCAAGCACACCGTGGTTCGCCAGCTTGTCTTCAAAAAGCAAATACATGTATGCTACTTGAACCAGTAGGCGTTCGCCATGTGCCATTGTCGTGCGTAGACTGGCTGTCCTCTCCGCCATTTGGCATCCAGAGTTGCTTGCGCGACATCCATCTCAACGAGTAGATCAGTAAGGAACTCATCTGAGTGCGTGACCTCAGCGATGTAAAAGTCTCCAGTGAGAAAGCGCCAAAAGTGTGAGCTTCCTTTCCAAAGAGTATTTCATTCAGGGTATGAAAGGCCACTTGGGGACAGGGACACAAGAGTGCCAATAGAAGCGAAGAGACGAGTCCAAGGAAGTAGTCTTAAAGAAAGAGATAAGATCACCGGGACAAGAGCTTTAATATCCTGAAGTTTCGGATTACTACTTGATGAAGGAGATGAAGGGGAGAGCCGTGAATGTTCATATGTATGCGGTAGCATGGCTACTGCATCCTATAAATACCGCAGCCCCTTGTGCAACAACCAACCCTTTCTGCTCTTCTGTCTCTGATGATGGATTCGAGTAGGAATCCGGAACGTCAGGCTAATAAAGCTCTTGTCCCGGCGATCGTGTCTCCTTCTTCAAGACTACTTCCTTGGACTCGTCTCTTCGCTTCTATTGGCAGTGTATTTGGGCGCGATGCGCTCCGATCGGCCCGGCGATGGGAAACCTTCGCCCTTCGAGAGGCCTCTACGTAATCGCAGATCCGGTTTCTGCACAGGGGTCTCGACAATAATGCGTTACCGAAATGTGTTTCATACAAGCCACCGGTTAACACAGATTTGCGAGACGAGCAGTATTTCAGCACGGCAGAAGGATGATCCGAGTGCTCCTCCAAGATTGCCACGCGAGACTTCGTAAGTACCGTCAAGGATTGACCAAGAATAAACCAGATGCTGTGAGTTCATGGATGAGATCCGTACTAATCTGCTCCTGCGGAGGATAGCTGAACAAACCCGCGAACAGAGCATGATACGTGACGCAACACTGGAGAATAAATTCCGAAAGCTGCCCAATCCAACTTCGCCCAGAAACGACAAACGGGTGCACAACCTGTCATCAAAGGAGCTGACGAAGGATCAGATGCAGGTTTTACGGCACGAAGCTTCATTTAACACGGCTGACGCCAAACCTGTTAACATGATTGCAGCAGTGGAGTCAATCCTTTGTCAGACGGAGGCAACGGAGGAGACTAAGAACCTCATCCGACACCAAGTATCGTCTCTCCTGATGGCCCACAGGCCGCGGGAAGTGCTTTCCAAGGTCGAACGTGATGCGCTTAGAGAACTCAAGGCCGACAAAGACCTGGTCATCGTGCCAGCGGGCAAAGGACGCGCCACAGTTGTACTGGACAGGACACACTACCTTCAAAAAGTCAAACGTTTACTGGAGGACCGACAGTTCTATGTCCCATGTGCAACGAACCCTTTAAAGGCGCTGACGCGCGAAATTAATGCTACGTTGTTGGCCTTGGAGAACTCAGGTGCAATAACACCGACCGACAGACGCATGGCGAGACCCCAAGATACGGCTTTGGCCCGATTCTATGGCCTCCCTAAGGTGCACAAAGACAGCGCTCCTCTCCGACCCATCGTGTCGCTCAAAGGTACTCCAACGTACGGACTGGCTAAGTGGCTGTTCCGGCGTCTCAAGTTCCTGACCGCTGAGTCAGACACCACGGTCTCTTCGTCAGCACAATTCCTGGAGGAACAAAAAGGGGTAAGCATCCATCCAAATGAGGTCATGGTATCTTTTGATGTTACATCCCTTTTTACTTCTATTCCCCAGGAACTGGCGATCGAGACAATTGAGCTGCTACTACAAAGCAAATACGATGAAACGGAGAACCGTCTTGGACACGCCCAAGTCCTTCAGCTCCTGAAGCGCTCTCTCAGGACGTAATTCACGTTCGACGGGACAATCTACGAACAGGTGAAGGGCACACCAATGGGTTCGTCGATTTCGGGATTCATCGCCGAGGCGGTCCTGCAACGGTTAGAGTCGCTGGTCTTCCAACACCACAGACCGAAATTCTGGGCCCGGTATGTGGATGATACTTTCGTCGTCATCGAACGGGATCAGGTATTGACATTCCACAAACATCTGAACGCCTTCTTCCCGGACATTCAATTTACGATGGTGGAGGCAGAGAACAACCAGCTGGCCTTCCTGGATGTCCTCGTATGCCGCAAAGGTTGTGGTGAACTAAAAACCAAAGTGTTCAGGAAAGCGACAAATACGATGCAAGTACTGAACTTCAACAGTAACCACCCAATCAGCCACAAACGCAGTTGTGTAAGCACGCTCTATCAGCGTGCCGAAACGCACTGCAGTGAGCCGGAAGACAAGATTGCTGAACTACAATACCTCCGACGGGTCCTCAAAGCCAATGGCTACCCGCGCAACTTCGTCGACCTGTGCATACGTAAAAGGGACAATAGGCCTAACCGCACGGACACCAAGTCATGGCGGGCACTTCCGTATGTCAAGAACGTTTCGGAAGCTGTCGGCCGCCTTCTCGCACCACTTGGGGTTGGAGTGGCACACAGACCGGAGGCAACCATCAGGCGTCTGGTCATGAAACCGAAAGACCCACTGCCACGGCTAGAAACGTATGGAGTCGTTTATCGGATCTGGTGCAGTTGCGGACAAAGCAACTACGTCGGAGAAACCGGAAGACAGCTCCGAACGAGAATGGCCGAACACGCGGCAGCGGTGCGCAGAAATGACGCCAGCTCTCAAGTTGCGGCTCATTCGACGGGATCCGGCCACACATTCAAATTCGATGAGACCGAAATTCTCGCAAGAGGTGACAACCGCGTGAGCCGGGAGCTACTGGAATCATGGTTTACTGGCCCCCAGTCCATCAACAAGTGCAACGATCTTCCCACTCCATACTCCTTGCTGAAACTTCGCCTAGGCGGAGTAACAAGCCATGTGGGGTGTGCAGAGGTGAACACTTGTCCCAACACCGGGGTCGGTGCGTCAGATGGTCGAGCAATCATCACGCCAACATCCAACGCACGTGATGAAATTGCAGCAATTATCGACTCGAATGTCGGCCATTAAGTAATGATCACACCAAGGACGACGATCCCGGATGAAGGGGGGGAGCCGTGAATGTTCATATGTATGCGGTAGCATGGCTACTGCATCCTATAAATACCGCAGCCCCTTGTGCAACAACCAACCCTTTCTGCTTTTCTGTCTCTGATGATGGATTCGAATAGGAATCCGGAACGTCAGGCTAATAAAGCTCTTGTCCCGGCGATCGTGTCTCTGTCTTGAAGACTCAAGATTCCGTTTATAGGCAAATTTCCTGATTTGTTTGTACTGTACTACGTCACAGGCAGCGGACGAGATTTTTCGCTCAACTTCCTTCGCACCTAAATGGCCGACTCTGCCATTAATTTGTACAAGCCAGGCTCTCGACGTAACTGCCGATTTGTGCGCCATTATTATTTTATGCCTCCTGAAATGCCTTTCGACGAATTCAGATACATTCTAAATGGGCGAAATATTTAATCGAGTGTTGTGCTTGGCGCCAGATTGAAACTTTTTTAGCTCCCTGTGTCTTAACTTTCGCTATCTTTTACATGGACGCAGAAAATGGTTAGGGTGTCCGTCGGTAGAAATCATTAAAAGACTATTTTTGCTTAATTCGTTACGTTTCATGGGCAGAGCAAGGTGTTTTTTAACTGATTAAGTATTCTACTGATATTAGTCCGTTTGCGAGATATAGATTATTTGAAGAAGGAGTTTCGCAAACTCTGGACTGAATGCTTGCGCCTGTTTCAAGTGAGCTGTCTTTGAATAATCGCTTCGTGGTCTGTCGTCTGCAAATGTCAATGATATTCAAAAGAGACATGGGCGACGTTTGCAGACATTGACTTTGCGCTCAGTACCGATGGGATTCGAATTTGGAGTTTGAGTCTGTTAAAATGGAGCTGAGGTACAGCCGTCTCACGCTAAGATTAACCATTTCAGTCTCGGTTTCTATTGCCCGAAAAATTTATCGATTCAAAATTACTTGAAACAAAACCGCATTCTTCTGCCAAAATGCGAGATTTATTCGTCAAATAATGGCGATTGCTTGAGGAAAAATTTATTCACTGCGCCGTTAAAATCATTAACAGTATCATAAATAAAGAGCCCGCAAAACCAGTTGCGTAAACAATGATATCAACGTCAGCACCTTTGATGCGCTGTATTCGTTCGTCCCGTTTAAAAGCAGACTGTTTAACAAAAACTATGTTTACCTTGATTTGTTTATCCTGGTGTTGATTTTCATGAATAGACGTCTGTCTATTTACGTAGGGCTAGACGAGATCCAAAAGTGCTTTCCAGAATAAAAGTTAGTAACTATTTCCTTGAAAGCAGTAAAGTCCTATTCTTTCTTTTTCACTTATGTCACTATGTAGAATGGTGGCTATAGAAATTGCTTGATTCTGCTGAAGATATTTTGTACTTAGTTGTTATATTATAAACCTTAATGACTATATTCATTCCGTCAATTTTAAACACTCCAAGTAATTTTTAGACGCCCATAACTCGCATGGATTTATTACGAATGGTTCTTCCGCCAGGCAACCTCCCAGTAAAGTCATATTGCTTGTGAAGTGAGGGTTCGTTCTTCAGGTGTATACGACTGTGTGCTTATTTATTCCTCATCAGGTCTGACACTGCCATCGAATAGAAACTTCGTAACTCTGAAAATTATTCCTAATTTTATAAATTTTGGCTGCCATTGGCCGGCGGTAAGGGTTTTCCATGCAATTTTATCGCTGTTTAACGGTTTAGTTCTGATGATACCAGACGGGAAAACAAAGACGCGGTTGATTAGAATGAAACAAAGACTGACCTGCTTGCTTTTCTGCGACGAGTGCAAGTAATAATTAAGATCACGCAGCAGACCAACAATACTGGGATGAGTATCGACAGCAGAATTGTCCTCGTCCACTAAAAAAGATGCGGTTTGCATGTGTAAACCATGCTTGATCAGTACCAGGGATGCAGACTAAAGAAACAAATAAAATGCCCAAAGCCGTCATATCACGTCATCTTTTGAGGGAAAGTCAATCAACGATTTCTCAACAACCGCCGAACCGTTTCGTTTTTATTTACCACTTCGTTTCTGCTTATGCTATCATAAAGTAAGCTGAATACTTGTAGAAGTGCATGCGTATTTTTGTTATTTATATTTTTCAAACAGCTTTTGAATATTTCGTTTTCTTTTTATTCAACAATTAGCTAAAAATGGGTTTCTTTCTGAGAGATAATTATTATTTTGATAATTATCAAATACATAGGGATTTTCGTCGCCCATTTAGTATATTTATATGCAAAGGACTTACCGAGGTGCATATTATGCAACGCTATGAGCTATAACCTATACGTATCAAACTGATGCCAAATAACTTACGTCCGGTATTTCGCAGTTTTCACCCTTCCACCCCGAAGTACATTCACATGTATGGCTAAAATCCCGTGGGTGGTCAACACAGGTTCCGCCATTTGCACAAACGCTGACGTTATTAGAGTCGCTGTTTGCTCCTTCCTGTGTCGATGCTTTTAACTTCAAAACATTCAGGGCAGCTTGACAAGAGGAGTATCTCTCGTTACAGATTGCACCGTACCAGTGTCCTTTGCATTGACACACAAACTGCTGCCCATGTGGACCTGTCTTCTGACAAACTCCGTCGTTCAGGCATGGTGATGGATTACATACATCCCGCACTTCGTAGCATTCTGGTCCTGAGATTTAAAATAAAGTAGTAATGACTGAGTTTATGAAACTTCTGAAGGCGTCAGGTAGAAGTCTGGATCGATTACCAGTGTAACTTGATTTGCTATAACACTGACGAAATTTAAGTCAAATTTAAAAGTTAAATGAAATCTGGTAGCATGTCGAATAGGCAGACAAAATATATCTAACCATAAATAATGATTTCATTAAATTCCAATATTAGAGAGACTCCAAAAAATATCGTAGGAGCACTCGTTAATAAATTTACGACCAACTGCGCTACCCCCTAGTGCACAGTGGGCCCCTAAATTTGCATGCGCCGGTGGGAAAGTGCATCCGGGAAACGACAGCAAACGTCTGGGCTATGGCAAAGATCGCTGAATCTCAAGATGCTCCTCAGTGTCGCTGAGCAGTGTGTTGTTTATCTAAACCCACTCAGCTGACGGAAAATCATTTCCACACTTTTCCCCATAAAACCTATGTATCCGGAGAAGGGCCTTCACGCATATCAGAGGGAACTTTTCCTTCTTCCGTTATTTATGAATAGCTTCAAGTTCTAAAGCTGTCACACAACCGACCTACAGCCCTTGGAAATTTTCTAATGCTTTTATTGCCCTTAATTCATGTTACCATGTGAGTGCGTTCAGAGGTCTCTATTTTCAGTGTCAGTTAATAGTATAGATATAGTTTCACAACTTGTTGTTTGGTTTTGAACTTGTTGCCTGGAACAAACTACGACTGCTCTACGTGTATTTTTCGGTTAATCTATATTACTGCATTTAGACTTTTAGGATGCGGTGATGCTAGCTAAAAGTTGTTCAAGGTACTCAAAATCTATTCTAAATTTTACAATTGTTTATTGTATTTGATACTAATCACTAGTATATGAATCGCAGATTACGGAAAATGTCCCTGCATCCTTCAAAAACAAATGCTTGCCGGTAACATATGCGAGTTTTTGGCAACTTAAAATAACATTTGTTTATATTTTATGTTTGTCAAACATATAATATTTACTAGCATTGAGAACTGTTAATCAATATTTAGTCCTTTACTCAAATCTCTGCCCAAAGCCTTTGACTGCCAGGCTTAGGAAAATTACTTTAGTGGTTTCCACTGACAAATAATGATCTAACTTTTCCTTACTATTATTTGCCATTTATTTGACTTTGAGAAAAAGGTGTCGGTTATTAGCATCCCTGAAAAAATCGGACACTAAATAAGCCGAGGGAATTCGCTGCCACGGTAGTCTTTCTAAGTGTTCATTTAATTCTGGCAAGCAATGAATAAACCCTCATAACTTAAACTATGTCTACGAATGACCAGCATTTGTTTTTTACACATTTCAATAGGCTCACTTTCAAAGCAAACATCTTTTCAATAAGTTAGGTTACCATAACAAACTTGCTCAATGTGTTCACATTTAAGTTAACAGATTTTTTTGCAATGTAAATCGAGGCCTTTCACAAATCGGGCTTCCTTTAACAGCCTGAAATACCATGTTATGATGCACGATTTAATGTAGTTTTTTCGTTCCTTTGTGAGACCGTCTGATATTCAAATCGTATTAGTGTGTGTTGTGTCTCCGCCTTAGATAATGTGTGTGAATTACAACTATACACGCAACTATCTGATGAAATTTATACCATACACATGCATGTCTATTTACGCTCACTTTATGTGAAGCACATATGTTATTTAAAATCCTTTTAATGTTGTTTATTCAGCCAAATACATCCATATAATATATGACTTGTTTGCTTTTTCGCATCCTTACACATAATCACAAATGTACTCGAGGCCAAATGCGAAGGACACGTGGCTGCTAAGTGATCACGGCTTGATCTAATAGAAAACTAGATGAATCCACATTCATCCAGCAACCACGTGTTCTTCGAATTTAGCCTTGACAAAATAAGTTGTTGCGTGACCCGAAGGGGCTCTGAATATTGGTGGTTTTTGAACCTTGATCCTGCGAACACGCACCACAGCTTTCTCGATTACGTAGCTGTTTTTGTTTTACTTCCGGGATTACAAACACGTTTGATTACGTCAAACCTGATAACTGCGAATGTAAAATAAGTAGCCATGAAAGTGAAACTCACCACTGCCGCCATTACAGTAGCACGTCCGGCCGTCGCCTTCGGGGTTATTGGCACAAACTGCTTGTGGCGGACACGGCTCGAAATAACAGTAATCCTTCTCACTACATATAGGTCCCTTAAAACCTGAAAAAAGAGTTACATGTTGATCTTTCCCATATGGTGCTTGGATATTAATATCTGAAATAGTCGTTAGGATCCGTAATAAAGACTGTAAATCGCTGGTGTTCTCAAACTCATATGAGTGAAAATCGGTCAAAAACAAATAGTAGCCTAATCGTGTTAGAGACCTTAGAGGACACATAGAACTGTTAAATGTAAACTTTGACGAGTAAAATCATAACCTATTTCGGTAAGGACGTACTATTGGATGACAAGTTTAAGTTTAAATAATGTAACACATTTGCATTTCTCGTACAAAATATTTACCTGGATAACATACATATTTGCCCTGTGAATCACAGAGATAAGATTTGAAATCTGATTTACAGTAGGTTTCACACAGGCGCCCGTAGTAGTGCATTGAGCATTCGAGTTTTAATGACAAACGCACCCTGAAAGAGCATGAGAGAGTACTTTTAAGCGATTTTCTATCAGAATACTTGTTGAAGTAAACATTTACTAACACATGTCTGACAACAATAAAATTGAAAAGTCACTGGTTTGCCCGTGTTTTGTGCCACAAAGGAGAAAAATACAAAATAACTTGCATACAGTGAAGGAGGCTGGGATATTTTAAGCCAAATGCCTGCCTTAAATATGCAATTTATTGAATTCACTGATCTGTCTAGTAAATTAAAAAAGCGAAACCTGTCTGCTCTTGTGTCGTGTGCGATTTTATAAAAAAAGATACTTAGCCATAGGAAGGAATCTTTGTTTTGAGCAGACCCTTGCTAATAATGGGTTTTTCTGCATTCGCGGTAGTTTGCGTTTTTTCAACGGTCGTTCTTCTAACAATGGTCTGAAAGCATGTAACAAAACAGTGCAGGTATCATTTTATTTTGTGCAGTCAAGCAGCAATATTTCATGCACTTTTGACGACCAAAAACAGCAAGTGCACGTGTAGAAATTGAAGTGAAGCTCCTGTAGCTACTCGCCAATGTGAGAACAGCTGCAATCGCGAAACGTTACCTATACCGCTTTTGATGCATTATGAAAAAAGACGTGTTTTTCCATATTTACCCAGTGTATTATTGTTATGTCTCTGTAAATTAACTAAATATGGTTTATTTGATATCTTTGCAATGTCGGGAATGTGCCGAAGGCAAAATCCTTTTGGTACTGCTAGCAGACAAGGGGTATTTTACACATTCAGCGGATAGGATTAACTAGTAAGAAAACAAATGCCGTGGTAGGTGATCGACAGACATACCTTGTGTCCGAAAAAAATCGTGAGAGAGAGGATGCTACAAATCTACTAAGTACGTGACGCTCAGATGAGAAAAGCAATGTGTAGGAAGGAACACCTGCCTACGAAGCTAGCAAATGCGGTTATAACAAGTTTTATGGGAGGCATTCGGACGACATAAGGCTGTTGCCCCCGTCCCGTTAATTGTGTATTTATATCGTGCAGAAACACAGAAAACGGCCAAGCGACTGTTCCGACATTTGCATTTCCTACACTTGCGATCAGATACGACGGTCGGTTCGACTACTCACTTCCATCAACGGCTTAAAAAGTTGCGAGTTAAATTCGTCGGGGTGATGGCGTCAGTTGACATAACTTCTCTCCTCATTTTAATCCGAGCGGCCTTGGCAGTCGAAATGACCAGCGAACTAAGTGAAAACAAGTGTGACTAATTGGGTGGACAAGAATATGGAGTCACCTAGACAAACTCCGTAAATTTTACCGCAAGAGGCATCCACAGGTTCGCAGGGCAAGGGTTTGCCAATGGGATCGCCGCTTTCTGGTTTGATCAGGGACACAGATATTCAAAAACTTGGCGGGTTACTTTTGCATTTGCCACCGTCACCATCAAGGGAGAAGGAGACTAGACTACCCTAATCCTTAATGCCGCTTTCCTAGACATTCGCTTTAAATCGGAGACCGAGAAAAAAACAACAGTTTCGGGTGTCTAAAAATACGATAAATCCCTATTTGTCCCGGCATACACGCTTAGTGCTACAGATCCATCTGTGTGAAAACTCTCTAAAGAGGAACAAAAGTACTAAAGCGATCAGGAGGACAAAGTTTTCGAGTGTGCCACGCTAGTTGTTTCTTCGTCACTTACAGACTGCAAGAGTCATTCAGTATCTGATGATGAGATCTAATGTCCTTGCCCCGGGACAAAACGTCGCAAGTTGCTCACCTTACCAATTTTAACTTCCGTCGGGCAAAACAACCAATGATCCTTGCAATAGAGAAGTGAGAAGGATTGTTCATCTGCCTCTGCTGCTTACGCACTGCACAAACTCTGCTCACACACTCGTTTCCCATAATACTGCGATCCTAAACGTAGGGAGTGATCGTATTGCCAAGGAAAAGTGGAGGTGTAGCAGTCAGGGTCAACCTCCACCAACGCCTGGGTGGTCTTTTCACCGTCTGCCGTGCATAAAGCCAGAAGCAGGAGGAACTAATCACTGCACGCACGTAGATGTACGAGGTTGTAGTTCTCATTCACTTTATCCATCGTCGGACTCAAAGTCGTCTTAAAGGCAAACTTGCCGGTAAGTCGTGGTTATTGTTAATTTAGCTGCCATGGACGGTCTTATAGTAGAGTAGAAAAGAGGTCGACTCGGTTTAGTTTTTTCCTATGTTACTTTGTTGTTATCGGATGTCAACGACTACATCGCCTTACTTAAGACTTCAGCTGTTTGGTAACCTTTAAATCGTAGAGGTCTCCGCTGTAACTATCAGCTCCGATTGGGACGCAGTGAAAGTGGGATCAATTTTCAAAGACGAACTTGGGAGTCTGTAATCATTCTTATATGTCAGTGGACACCCTCCGTAAATAAATTTGCCTCTTTCCGATAGTATCGCACGTCTACGTGGCATGTGGTTAACCCCCGAGCGCATGTTTTCGAAATCCATATTTACCTCCGCGGGTTTCCTTGACACAATTTGCAGGGCAACATAACATAATCTTTTTTTCTGACTGCGTTTCCAACAGCCTTCTCGGTAGCAGAATATTGACGATTCATGCTTTCTTGTGACCGAGATCTTCCATTGTTTGCAAGCTGTTCTGAATTCTCATGGCTCTTTATCCAGCAATGATCCATTTAGCATAGAAAAATGGATGAAGATCCCGGTGCAGTCCCCCCTCCCCCTTCGGAGAGTTGCCTTGAAGTTTCTCGACACATTGGTCATTTAGTTCCAACCCCTTGCTTTTCAATTGCCTTGTACTACTAACTGCATTCTTTCTCTCGGATTATAACGGAAGTACTTATCTCACATGACTCCTTAACTTACTCTTTTGACATACAATTGCACAGTTTCGTTTAGAGATGCACACACAAACGTCCTCTGATTGAACGTCTTGAAGACCGGTTGGCGTTTTTCGGCAGTAATCCCTATAACTGTCTGACCACCTTTTTAAGTGCTTATAGATAGACAGTTTCAAAAGATGCGCGGTATGTTTTTATTTATCTCTTGCATGAGTTTGTGGGTTGAATCCTCGAATAAAGTCAAACAGGCCTACTTTCCTTTTGTGAAAAACTGAACGGTGAAACAATAGCGGTTCCCGAATACATACTTCTGCACTTGAAACTTGCATTATCCAATTTGACTGCGATGGAGAGGGCAAAGTAGACTGACAAACTAGCGTCCTACACAAACTCGTTACCTCTCCGCCGGACTTTCTTTGGCTACCTATTATATCCGTAATACTGAGGTTTCCAGCAATTAAACTTCCTCCTGTCAGTTAACCACATCTGAGAAAGATTCTGTTCCCATCAAGAACGTTCTCTTTAACAGCCAAACTGCATCTGCTTAGGAGAACGCCCATCTCCCAAGAAAGAAATCCCACCTTCGTGAAGCCTCCACTGTTGTAACGCGCTAGTGGAGGGACTTTCATTTATGACCACTGATTTGAATTTAGGGATCTGTTGCTGAAGCATGTATGCGTTCCTGGTAACGAATGGTTTCCTTATTGAATGTATGCCGGAAAATCTGGTTAGATTCTCTCAGCGTACAATATCAGTGCTGCTTAAGTCTTTTGTATCGGTATAAAAAGGGTCTCCTTCACGTTCAGCTTCTTTTGACTCTCCTGAATTTGTAAAAGGCGCTCACGTGCATCCACCCAGGCCCTACACTTCACACCACTGGAATGGTTTTACCCTCAAATGAGTACGAATTGTGTTCACTTTGCTCACTGTGTTTTCAACGTGTCAGGTGTTCAAACAAACAAAGGCAAATACTCGAATTTATTACGGAGAAAGAAGAGGTTCTTCGGAAACAATCGAGTCATACTCGTACATTTTCAAGTTGATGACACCAGTCCGCCGTCAGCTGAAGTGGAGACAAAGGAGGAAGTAAGATTGTCACACTAGATCCCTTGACGCGAAAGAACAGACACTGAGAGGGCACAACTCCACTGCTGCCGAATGACCTCTTCCTTCTCCATTATATCGGCTCGGAATGAATACCACATTAGACGTCCCATTTGTTAGCTTCTATATGTCATCAATTGTTTCCCGTCTATCGTCATATACAGAAGCACATGGTCGCCAGCAGTTAGCGTCATCCCTTAAGTACCTTTACGGACCTGAATATACGGTTTATGCCGCATTGTGTCTACTATCAACAACGTTTGCAATACGTAACGGAGACCTCAATGATATTCGCAAAGCGGGTTGTTTAAAATGAAGCGGTAGACCTTTCGCTGGGAGTCAGATTGCCATCTTTTTTCAACAAAATGCATTTCATTAACATGAGTGGCCTGCATCCAAAGTGAGTCAAAAGGAAAACGAATTTTCACGGAGCCCCTCAGTCTGGGACAAGTGCAGCAATAAATTAAACTAGTAAAAACCTCCAAGTCCGGGAAAGATTTATACTGAAGAAATAACTCATAGTAACGAAAAGAACGATAATATGTTGATGAAATTCAGGTAAACGCGTTCTCTGATGTAAAACCCCTTTGCCCACTTCTGCTAGCTACCCTTTCACTTGGAGTCTTCTCGTTGGAATAAAACCTTCTAAGATGTTTAAAATAAAGCTCATATATTTGCATAGCTTGCTAGTTCACAATATGACATCTTCTTAAAGTAATCTGTATTTCCTATGGAATTGCGTCGAGAAAACATTTTTCAAGCTTACGAAGTATACGCCGAATAAGGCAGTTCAATAAGTGGGATATTCTGTCAGCAATCCCCCCAATTTCTTAAAAAAATATTATTACACTTTTTGGGGGTAAGTATGCGTTGATTAGTGTAGGTCGGGACAACGATAGGGTGTAGGACCCCTAACTAACTTGAACTAGCCTATGGACTTTGTCATACACCGAATGGTGGTAGAGGGGGTTGTAAGAGTGTACAACATGCAGGACGGAGAGCAATGAGACACAGAAAATAGATACATTTTTGCCGAAAGTCTTATCGTACGCTGTCCTTTGGCAAAGAAAATGAGCGCGATAATTAAAAAATAAACAAAAAGAATTTTCAAAAAATAACAGACTTTAAATAATGCGCCGTCGGTAAGTTTACATTTATTCAGGAAGAGGAGGAAATTTCACACTACGGGAACGGTGATTAATAAGTTTAATAAGTTATGTTTGCAGTCACACTGAATTTTGGGGTATACTTTTCGAGCTGTCATCTACTTTCGGGTTCCTACACACTATCATTACTTAAATCAGTCTTACTGAGAACACAGCTTCCAACATATGTTGCATAATATGGCGTACCTGACCGTATGGGGGCTAAATAAGAACTCAGACACGTGCTTCGCTGATGTCGTGCCACTGCAGAACACAGCTGTAAAGGGGTTCGGCTCATCAGCGGGTCCCTCAGCGTTGTCTGTGTGCTTTCTGATAGACGATCCAGTTTTGAAATTTTGGCTTATAATTTCCCAGAAATTAACAGCTGAATTAGAGAAGATCAGTCTATTTGAGGCTTATTGACTCGGATTGAAAGTTGATATGAATATTTGGGCCGAAGTCCATCAGGTCCAGCGGAATAACCGCACAATATTCATAAACTGTCAATATAGCTTCCTTAACCTCAGCCATAGCATTGAAATCCTTTTGAAGGACATGATGTGCACTTTCTATGTCAGACAAGGACTGATTTTCTATTGTATTTTTGTCCACGTTCTTTTCGTCCGCCTCCCCTGTACTAGATCGCTCGGTCGTTTGGCCTGACACAGGCGGCGTGAATGATACCCTTGTCTTTTAGGCAACGCAGTGAAACCCCACTGTTACATATGTATTGTCCTTCTACGCGCACCATAAAATCAAATTATTGATGTGCCAAACTTGTAACAGCCTTCTTCCCGATTAGCTACTGCCTCAATGTCAGTCACCAGTTATTTTGACCAAACTTTGCCATTGGAAAACAATCGATGGGCAAGAGCGTAGTGGGTGCTGGAAATAACCTTCCCACCGCATCTACAGTGGGTGACCTATCTCATAAAATGTTGGCTGAAATTCTGAAATGCGTTTTCGATTAGGAAGGATAACTTGGTCGCGGTTGTAATACTGACTATCTTGCGGCATACTCTTATAACATTTCGGACTCGGCAGGCTGTCGGCTTTTAAATGCACTTTTTTCAATCTCCTGTAAAAAGCGTACTCGGTAAAAATGACTACTTAAGTAACATGCTTTTTCCCATTGATTTTCGATGGTCTTGCAAATTCAAATATATTTTATAGAAACCATAAATAAAAATATGCTTTCTTTTAGTCAATCAATAGAGAATCATGTCTTCTTTATATTTTATACTTAAGGAGGGAGTAAAATTAGGTTTTGAAAGAAGTTTCTAATTATGAGACTTTTCAAGACCGCGAAATGTCAACTCACATAGCATCGTACCTGGACGTTTACCACTGCCTCTCATGAAATGAACAACATGGTCCGCATCCATTGCAAAATTTTATGGACTCTGTATGACATCTCTTTAATGGCATAGAAAAATATGTGATTTTCTTTACGCGGAACGCATGTACCTTGTAGACTGAAATTACTAAGCGCCAATGCAACGAATGATCAGGCTCCAAATTATTCGGCAATTGGAAAACTTTTTAAACCTAATTATACTCCTTCCTTAAGTATGAAATATAAAGAAGACATGATTCTCTATTGATTGACTAAAAGAAAGCATATTTTTATTTATGGTTTCTATAAAATATATTTGAATTTGCAAGACCATCGAAAATCAATGGGAAAAATGCATGCTACTTAAGTAGTCATTTTTTACCGATTACGCTCTCTACAGGAGATTGAAAAAAGTGCATTTAAAAGCCGACATCCTGCCAAGTCCGAAATGTTATAAAAGTATGCCGCAAGATAGTCAGTATTACAACCGCGACCAAGTTATCCTTCCTAATCGAAAACGCATTTCAGAATTTGAGCCAACATTTCATGAGTTAGGTAACTCACTGTAAGTCATCCACACGGAATCACTGCCTTCAGGGAGTATTGATGCTTTTCGCCGGTTCCGACGGAAAATGGTATTCTTTAACAGTTTTTTCAGACTCTGTAAGGTGTGACTGAAGCAGTAGTCTGGTGCCCATAGAGACACTCATTGGGCAACTGTTCCTGATGTGCACTTAGCTGTAATACGTTCACAAATGAAAATTACAAAGCTCTACCTATTTGGTTAGATTGTGGCTGTAAACATGACATTTTCACGCTTATGACGACTTCCATTATACTTTCAAAAACTTTATATCCTCTGCGCCATTTTTGTCTATAAAGGATAAAAAAGTTTCTGGTAGCCTTTGTGTCTCTCTGCCTCTACGTAAGGTCATTGACTTGTGATAAAACTGCAGAGAGATAACCACCTTCATACGATTTCTCTGCGATCCGCCAGTGGGCAACACGAGCCTTGCTTCACAGTAATTGTTTCGTTAAGTTGTCCATGAGTAGATTGTTTTGTGCATATCCGACATCGTGACCTGTACGGCTCCATCTCCCAATACTTAGTGACTGAAAAGTTCAGTCGTGTTCTTTCGCCGCCAATGACCCTTAGCACTTCATGGGAGATTGCTTGATTTATAGCTCGCCCATCTGCCGTATGGCACTTTTAGTCGGGATTTTACGAAACTGATCCTGGTGGACAGCCCGCAGTTAAAAACTGATTTTAGTTCTACTAGACTCCTGGTGACGAACTCTGCCCAGTCGATTTAAAAAAACCTTTTGGATTTCCTGAGGCTCTTTCTCCCTAAATAATCAGACTTTTGTGAGTCCAAATGTACCACTTAGGCCATATCCTGTTAGTCGGCCAGAGGTTCGGTTGAGGCGTGCTTCTCTGAGGAACGGCATTTGTGATGTACGGCTAATTCCCTATTCTCTCCTTAACTGTAAGTTTGATGTCGCCATCGATCTCGCCGACACATTACGCCGAGGATTGCTCTCATATATGAGGAAATAAGTGACTTTATATTACTGCCTGCATTATATGACAAATCTACCGCCTTGATCGATTGGTTTGCGGAGAAAAATATGTTCTTTTGAACAAAATTCGACTCTTACTACCGGATCTTTGTTGGCTCGGGGCACGTCGAACTAACGCCGGCTTTCTCGAAAGGCAGCTAAGAGCTTTAAATAATGTGGCTGGCTGTCAAGTTCGAAGCCCAAAAGCGAATCTTTCCTTTTACTTACACTAACCTATAAAATACAAAAAATTATTAAACTTCTCCATTCTGAATGACAAACTCTTTGATGGCTTGAGAGGCCTTGTCCTTTGCTGTATCAAACGGTGGGAGCAAATTAAACTTCACGACGCGTACTCTCTCAAACGAAACGCAGTTTTTCTGCACTTTCTCATCCCAATATGTATTTCACCATAACACATTTCTTTCTGCTGATATGATTCATTTTGCTGCATAGTGTATCATTTTCCTACTTTTCGACAAAACTATGAAGCTACCTTAGAGTGTAAGGTTAGCCATTGAAAAGAGTATTCGAGACAGCAGTAAAAGCGGATGTGGGACACTTTTTAAAATAACTGGTTCTCTGAGGGCTTGTCTGCCAGCAACACAACAATGAATCCTAGGTGCCAAACGATATATGCAAATGGGATGAACTTACAATACGCCCTGGTTACTCGGCGTCTGGTCAACTTTTACCAGGTTGACCGGCCGGAGAGGCTCCTCGCTGTTCAGGTAGACTGCCTCAGAAACGAAGGTTGCGATCTGATCATGGGCCGATAGGTGATCTCTATCCCATGCTTCTACCCGCAATCGAATAATAGGCTGAAGTGTTAATGCAAGTAGAAGCCAAAACATACTTGATTTAAGTGAAAGAATTCCGTGAATTAATTAAAAATAAGGTCCGGAAGCAATGATGGTCAAAGCTAGAATGCATGTTGATATGGCCAAGTTCAAAAGTTCGCTTGTCTCTAATGTGTAGCGCAGGCGGTTTATAATGGTCCAAAGTTTTGCAATTTCGTTTGTATGGATATAATTTTTGCGTAGATTCGCCATGACTACAATCGTATAGGTAACCTACCCCCTCCTATTGGTTTTTACAGGTTCGTAATGGACTGAGTCACCGAGCGAAATTCAATCTATTGACTTTATCCACCCTCGTCCATACGGCAGAATCGACGACAACGATCTGACCAATAATAACGATGATATTGCCAAGCCACCGCAAGGCATTGTTGACCTAGATCGCCCCAGTCCTCCGAAAGCAAATAAATAAGAGATTTTTACTTGTACGATTGTTTCCACAGGGCCGTCAGCACAGGAACGTACACACGCTAGATTTACTGCAAACAAAGTAAAGCATAATTAAGCATTTGTGCTAAAAATAAAAGACAACCCCTCAGATTAGGGTATCGCCACGTTCACTTCGATTCGGCCCCCCTCAGATGATGTTTTGAAGATAATTTTCTAAGTATATTGATTGTCATAGACTTAAAACATTTATAGTTTTAAACAACCTTTAAAAACTTACACAAGGTACTTACAGGTGGTCCATTTCTAAGTAGGATTTGAATGTGGTCTTCTCCTTTAATTTCAATAGATTTACTTTCATCGAACGTTCGGGTGGTTACCTCGGCGACATCGCAGTTGGGTGGTGAGCTACCAGGTCAGAGGGTAGAAGCAAAGCAATCACTTCATCTTTAACAAACCAAAAGTGACAATTGCGTTAGAATCCAGATTATGATTATTTGATGGTAATTTTTCGAAAGCTACCGCAGCTTACACTTTAAAGCCATACTTAATTTGCACATGTACAATTTTGCCTTAAGGACAGCACAATGAGTCTCTTTCTGTATGAAGTCCATCGGTCGCCATGATGAATGAGAGACTAATATTAAAAAGGCGTTTAAATAGGTGAAACAAAACATCTTATTTTTTACCTCATTGGAAGCCGACGTTGTGTGGACGGCGTAATACCCGGTTTGGCGAGCATTCCTATGTGCCAGATCTAAAGAAACACCATGACTAACTATAGAGGGTAGCGTGTTAATAGTCTAGATATCCGATAAATTCCCTTTATACACTGGTAGGATCGACATGCGAAAGAGGGGGCGGAGGCGGATGACACTTAACTTAGCCACTTTTCTTGGTCCGGCCCTACGGTGCAGGTGCAAACAGACCGGTATTGACGCTGATAAACGGCCGCAACTTTAGTCAACTGGCTAAGCGTAAAAAATCATCTTTTTAACTAATGAAGTAAATCTCAGCTGCCACAGCTTCCGTCATCGGTAACAGCGTCTGGAATTATGCGTCAACACAGAAAACACTTTTTGCGCGGATCTGCGATGGTGCTGGTGTAACTGCGTGTCAGTGGAAATAGCCCGTGTCCTTCCCTTTCTACTGCTGGCGCCCATTCCGCAACTCGCCGCAACTCTCTTCCCTCACTCTACGTCAGCACCTCCCACGGCCTTCACCTGTGCTTCGCCACCGGTTTCTTAGCAGGCATGTCAGTGTCACCTCTCCATCTAGACAGGTCATTCTTTTGTTGTACTTTATTCTCTTTGTTCATTTGAATATTAACGTGAATTCTCAATTTCTTTCTGTCTCTATCATACACTTGTAGCCACGGAAATCTTTTCCTGCACTTTCGTCTGGATGAGTGTAGTGACGCATTTTACAACTCTCTTCAGCTCGGTCTTAGCAAGAATCTAATCGCGATGTTTCACCGACTCGATGTGTGCTTCCGTCGACGTTATTGTTTGATACAGTGTCTTGGATGAAAGTCCCGGTTACAAAAAGAATTGGCTAAAATGCCCGCGAATTCCTTCGCATCCGAAGTAAACCCGCTCGTCAGAAACTTTCAAAGACAAGCTACGTATCTCTTAGATCCCCGATGAGTGCACACTTAACATGGTCTAGACGGTTGCGCTTACAATTTCGTTAAAATTGATTTACGGATTTTCTTGGTTTGGTCCCGAAGTTTATATGAATTTTCGAGTCACATTCTGCCGCTTTTTTCTGAAACAGCGCGAAATATTTATAAGAGCTCAACAGACATTCAATGAAACTTAAATATATTTTATGATCTATTGACCACACGACTTGCACAATTGCTAGATGAAAGTCCCGACACACGACTCGTCGACACAGTGTTGCTGCGTGATCTAGCTCTCGGGGGTTTGGCCTTTAAATTTACTGACAACAGCTTATCTACTGACGAGAGACCTTGGTCTGTATAAGAAAGCTGAGCATAAAATCGTCATGCGTAAGACAGCTCCAACTACCGGATCCAGGGAAACTACAGTCACTATCAGCGGTAAGGACACTACCGAGACATCCACTAACTTAAGAATTATAATTTCAAAGGAAGTCACAATCGACAAAGGAGTTAAAGCTCAGAGCCTCGAAGCCGACCAGGCCTTTTGGAAGCCCTAACCATCAAGGCGAAATCCGAGCGACAATCTCCTCAAAAGGACCAGGGTTTCGCTAATCCGACTAAAGAAATCTCACGGTTTGTCGATGTTAACCAACGACCTCAGCACTTGAAAATTTGGTGAGACTCGGGAACGCGGTCTCCTTTGGCCATCCCTTTATTACTTTGTTACTAGTATTTAGTTCAGTAGGGGTGCTACAGTTTGCACATCTTGGCCTAGAATTGGGGTGGGGAGTTAGTGGTTAGGGTTAGGGTTAGTGTTTAAGTTTGGGTTAAGGTTAGAATTAGATTTAGGGTCGGGGTTATGACTAGGGCTTGGGTTACAGTCGAGGATAGTGTTAGTTGTTAGTGTTCGTATTGAGGTTAACTTGATTGCTTGCGTTTGCGGTCGGTGAGAACTTCCTCAATTCTGTTTTACCATTAGGATTTAAGCTTGTTTTTTATGTTAGGATTAGTGTTCGGTTTTGCGGTTTAGGAAGTTTTTAAATGGTCTTCTGTTTTTAGTTCTTGAGATGTGGTTTATCATCATTTTTGCGCTCACTTCCTAAAACTTCCATCTATGGCTTCCGTCTGATTGGCTAACTACTTGGACGGTATGTTTCGATTAACTTGACAAGCCAATCCTCACTACCCCTGCTGGAGTTGGAGTTACTTATCACGAATGTTCATGTTGAGCGGTACTCATGCAGAGACTTTAGTACTCATTAAAACAACCTAGCAAATTTGCCTTCAATGCACCCGTTTTTCTCTTAATTTTCGCACAGCCTTCGACTTTTTCCGTAGCCTCACCCATAATATCTTTAGTACCACGGTTTCCCTATTGGAGGCCCCTGGGCCTCCCCATTTCCCAGTGCGACCACGTCTCTGAGCTCTGCCAAGTAATTTACTACATTCAAAGTTTGCTAAACTTTAACAGCAGGAGTCGTTTCCAGATGTGCAGTGTCTTCGATCGGCAGGCGTGCTTGGAATCGTTGCCTCAGTGAAACATCCCTTACCTTATTGACATCGAATGGCTGCCTGTAAAATCAGCTGGAGAGACTGAAAACAATCCGATGCAAATAGAGATCCTCTGTGAAACGTTGTAAACGAACCGGATCCTCAATAACACTTTTGCATACAACCGACCAATATGCAGATTTGGCATGAAGAGGAGAATCGCTAGCACCGAACTCATCAGAATCCAGAGAACAAAAAACAGAAAAACAGGAAAATGGTGGGGGATTTGGAAAATAGCCTCTGGCAATGTTTAACAACATCTCAAGTTAGAGGCCGCGAAGGGGATTGTGATTCAGAGCAAACGGCAGAAGCATGAGCGAAATTTATAAAAACGTTCCCGTTTTATTATCTTCTCAGAAATTGAGGCGCTAACTTGGAGCATTTCCTTCATGACAGAACTTTTTGAGATCACTCCGTAAGACGACATAGGCTTTCAGGTGGTACCCTTGCTGTCGTTGTGGTGTATCATGCAATATCAGTAAAAACGTTGATATAGCATAAATGGAATCCGACAAATTCCGTTTGCCCCCTCCCCTTGAACTGCATTCTAACCGTACATTCTCTACCTGTATTGTGAAACTCAGATTTTTGTGCAACGATAGCAAAACCAACATATATTCTCCCAACAGAATACATGGTTCTAACTGATTCTAAAAATACAGTGATACAGGATTTGTAGACTACCTCATAAAATCATCGCCGTCTAATGCAATTAACCAACGACGAATTCGTTTTGTCATACCAAAGCCTATGTCCACAACTATGATAGATTACAAAAGAGAATCTATATGAATAAAAGATAATAGAAGATGGAATCCGAAACTACAATCCAAAATAAGCCAAGCCTCGTAAGCTAAGTACTTACAATATGTTACCATTCCAAATGCATATTTTGAAAAAAACGTCGCATCTTCTGTCGTGCGGCATGATGTCGCACCACCCATCCTTTGCATTATCCCATGGATTTACGTAGAACAACTCGAGATCAAGTTTTGCAGGGACTGACTAAAATAAAGCAAACGTGTGAAAAAGCAGCGAAGAAATAGATCACCAGGAAATGAATCGGAACAAGGGAATATTTCAGGAGGTCTAAATGGTACAATGCTGGTGTAATGATAAAACCCATACAGCAATGAGACACGACGTAAATAATATAAATTGACGTAAAATGAGTTCTTGGATAAGGTCTGAAACTCAATTCTGCAAATATCTGCGGACAGTTTCCTTACTCGCTGTCAGGTGTAAAATAACTTTTCAAAACAGCAAAGTTATCAAGCATGTCTGAAAGTTAATACTTTTCAGTTACTTATGTCAAAAAGCGGTCTCCGCGTACTGTTAGCATGATTAGACTGATTGCCATCTTTTCCATTTATCGTAGAGATTTTATGCGCGACACACGTCTCAACATGCTGCTCAGTGAATAACTCAGCTGCATGCATGTTCTCTACGGGAAAGACGGTAAATATTCGAGTTTTGCTTCAAGCGAAACTATTTTTATATTCAGCGTATGCATTATTACTTGGGACAGGCGGTCTCGCCTCGTTAAAGCTAATTAATTCTCATAAGTGTGTGCAGGGGCAGATTTTCCAATGGGTCACAATATACAGCATTTCATGCAGCGTATGTGACTTCGTAGACGACTTCCTGCCCGGTCCCAGTAGCCGACCCCATAATTAAGATGAACAAGCTAGGTGTATGATGTAACCTTCTTTTGTGTGCCATGGATATTTGGTGCCTCCTCAAGTACCTTTCAACGACTTCGGGCACATTTTTAATGCAAGAAAGAGATCTTCAGTTATTTAAGATGGCGCCTAATTGAAACTGTTTACTTCCCGTTCTTTTAACAATTGCCGTCTCATACATCGGAGGGCAAAATCTTAACTGTACTACTTAGTAGAAATAATTGGAAGAAGTATTTTAGTTTAGTGTGATACGTTTTATGGCCAGATGTGGTTTCGTTTGGTCAAAGACAGTGTTGACACCAATCCATTTTTGATCTATAGGGCAATTGCTGCTATTATGTAGAATGCTTTGGCGTAGGTTTTTTGTGAAAACCTCATGTGCCCAGTGTTGCCTCAGTATTTCACTACGCGAGGACAACTAAGAATGTGAGATTTCTACGCGCTTCCATTTCGACCACAGTGTTAACTTCACGAATTTTTGGGTCGATATATTTGTGAAGTGCTTGCGGTTGATAATTTGTAACAACGTTAAAGGTGTCATCTTCAGAACGCAGCCAAATTTCAGGATTAATTGATAGGAGTAGTAAATTCTGAGGTCTCAACTGTAACCTCGGCGAGTAAGCAAATATCGACCCCACAGGCGTTCCTTAGTTTCCGATGGCATTTTTCAATGAATGACAATTTTAAAACAAAATATTAATTGCGCATATACAAGCAAAGAACATTAAGTGTTATCTACGTTTAAAAAATTGTTTTCATGTGGATAGGGCGCTAATTATGAGATCTCCAATGCTATGCGCTCAACCCGTTGCTGCATGGGTCTTTAAATGGTTAATCGTTGTCACCGGTTTGCGTACAGTCAGACCACTTAGAAGTAAGAAGGATCAATAGTAAATTAAGTCTGCTAATGCGAGTAGTATTCATACGACTGAATTAGCGAAGACTAATTTAACAGTTCTGTGTTTACGTTGAGCAGCTATCTGGCCTACTAAATTGCGTTTATATGTCAGTTTTCATGTATTCAAGTTTTCAGTAGAAATAGCTTGGTTTTACTCTCCTGTAGGAGGTAAATTTGCCTTAAACTGCACAGAAAACTGGAGCGATCACGGAGTCCGCTGAAACATAGAATCTTTTGGGTGGCATTAACTCACCTGTGCACCGCCAAGAAAGGGAAGTCCGAGTAGGAGAGGTGCAGCAATCGCAAAGAGAAACGAGTTGGAGCCAAACGAACCCATAGGTCGCTTTTGACTCCTATGCGACTGTTTCTGTGTAAATTAAATTTGGGTGTATGTTGGTGCGCGCAAAAGAGTCTGATGTGTGTACCAATGCAAGCCTTGCTGATCTGAAGGCAAATAACCAATCGCTTTTCAACCTTCCTGGTTTTGTGGCTGGACCGATCGATTCACAATGGTTTCGCGTTTACGTAATTCACCATACTTTATTCGACAGTGTTTGTCCGCAGACTGTTTACGTAGATCTACCGAGCACATTGTTTACTTCATTTGGCTGACTTAACTCGAAAAATTGGCTGCCTTACTACGTCAACCCACGGGGTGATCCGGAAGTTGCGGCTGCGGTAATCGCGTAGAGAAAACTATAATGATGTCATGGGATATTAAGAGTTCGAAGTATGCAGCGAGACTGCGGTAACCGGATTGCTAAAGGACGCGAATAATTTTGGAGAAATCATTGGTGACTTCGAGAGTTAATAAGACTGACTAGTTTCGAGTCGACAGTTTTATTTGCTTTTCAACTGACCACCATTTCTACAGCTCATAAAACCCATTAAATACGTATATGGTGGGTCACTGCAGCAGTACCTCATTAACTTTCCAGTGCCTTTCATGGACTTTGTGCAAAAAATCGTGCATTCTGGGGTTTTCCGGTTTTCAAAGTTTCTGTTCGGCAAGTTGCAATAGTTTGGGGGGGGGTAGATGACTGGCATTTCCATGGTAAGTCTCGTAACGATGATATGGGTTTTATCAAACTTCATCCTCTTAGTTCCCTGGCGACTCATGGTCATTGCACTCTTAGAACTGCGGGCTGACATTTGAAAAGTTGATTCATGCCCAGGCCTGGTCACTACGCCTACAGACATTCGTCGGCAAGTTACTCTTCGATGCTGCTGCGCCGGAAGCAGTTTCTAATGTTACGAGACCAAAACACTGGCACGTTCTATTATGCCACAGCGTGTATGCTACAGCGACTTAGGATTATGTAACTTCCGTCCCGAGGATATCTTCAGGTCTGGAGAAAATATAATGCAGTGAAGCTGTTCGCATGACTTTGTGGATTTTCACCCGGACTCATAATCAGAAACAGTCGCAAATAAGGGTGATAGACGCACAATTTGCGTAGTATGTGTAGGATACAGTTGCCCTACAACCACATGTAATTTTGACCGCCCCAAGCACACCCACCATCTGCTCCACAGAGTTGAGGCAGCAGCTGTTAATAAGTGAATTAGTTACGAGGGAGGTAGACTTTCACAGCATCTACCGCACCTCGTCCTTTCTCACCCGCCAGGCCGAGACGGCAAGATAGTGTGAAGACGACAGGACGTGGACGCGGCCGCAGTGACCGACAAAGTTAAACTGCTTGTCTATGTATGCTACATACGGTCTGGCCCGCACTATATGTACCAGGCTCCTGTAAGGACGGTTCGAGTCTCATTTGCGTGAGAATGTCACGCACGTCACACTTCCAGGAGCGCGGAGTTATCCCCTCAGGTTGCAAAATTTCAAGCCTCGACTATTAGCTCATTACGATGGATTCAAACGCATCAGATACACCGTAATGGGGAATGTGCTGGCATGCCTAAAGGAGGACTTCCACAATTTCAGATTCACTCTCTTCCATCTTTCGTGGGCCAGTCGTCTGTCTGAGCTCGTCACCAAGCTGATGATAGGAATGAGCACAATAGCTGACAGAGCAAAGCAATCTGCCCAACGTATGTCACACACAGCCTGCCCCCAACTACCTGTGCATGATTTAACAATAAACATGCATCCCATAAAAGTGAATAGTGTTTGTACCGATATAAGACCAATGTTTGGTCCGCCAAAATGGTGACAATACAATGGGCCGCATGTCTGCCGCATGAATGACATCGTGCTGCTTGAGAGACGGGTAGTTATATACTATTTTGCAGGTTCATGCGTAGTGTCGTATGTGGGACTCTAGAACAAGTTGTGGTGGTGGCATCGGGACTACGGCATCCTACGGAAGATTGTTAAGAACGAACATAAGACTGAACAGGCCCACGCAACAGCCGAATGTTCTAGGACAAGATGGGTAGGTGTGATGGGAGGAGCTCGTGTATGCCGGGGCTCGTGAAAATGCGTCACCGGTCTCAGTGCGTTGGATTCACGATTGACCGATCAGGCCGTTACGTAATTCAGATATACTGTGGCATCCAAGGCACGATGGAACTGTAGCAACTGATTTGGTGGTGATGATAGTGTCGACACTGACAGTGCTATTTATACTGATTGTGATTTAGTTGGTGATACCACTGCTAGACTCCTAAAAAGGGCCAGGCGGTTGATACGCTGAACCAGCATGGGGGGTAGACTGGAACCTGGTAGGCGTTACCGAAAAGGCGCGTCCATAACAAATGTGAACAATGGGGGTGTGGTGACACGCCCAGTTGCCACCCGTTTATTTTCTTGGTGTATAAAACCCGGTCAGTTTTCGTTGAGGACCAGTGGGTGTGGTGGCACGCGATACCTGTTCCCTCTTCCGCCTCTGGTCTACTTGGCGCTGTCTTGACACCGGGCTTAGGCGGGCGAGTAGAGAGTGCGGTAGACGCTCTGCAAGCATACTACTAACATAAATTAATTCACACACAAGTCATTGTCCCTGCTCCCACCCTTCTGTGAAAAATACGGTTAACATTGTTGGTAACGACGGCCGAACTGTCGGTCCCAGTTCTGGAGTGGGTTTTGGATGTTGGATGTGGATTGCTTTGTTTTGGCGTTGTGCTCCGAATTCATTGCGGAGAATAGTAATTGGTGCGATAACTGCCTATTTGGTTGCATTCGGGTGCTTCCTTGCAGCAATTTGGTAGCCAATTTTGATTAGTGGCTTGATAATTACTCCCTGATTTCGTCGCCGGAAGTGGTGTTTGCCTACAATCTCCGCTTGGGGCCGACCACACAGCCCTAGCTGAATATGAAGATGGAGTCCATTACACTTGCCAGTGGACTGCGGGGTGGAAAACCATGACTCAGGCAGCTGGCGGCTGGCGAATTTCGGTTTCATCAAAATTGAAAGTGCGTGTTTCTCGCACAAACCTCTGGTATGCGCAGAACCGGCTAGACGCGCATAAAGTCAAAACGGCAGGCAAATGATCCGGATGTTCCTTCAAGATTTTCTGTACTGGTTTCGCAATTATCGTCGGAGAACTGACCATGATAAAGCTACAGGCAAGGAAGCTGGGGTGAAAACGGTACAAAACTGTTTCAACATAGAGTAACCGAAAGAGACCGCGAACAGGGATCGTTACGCGACGCAGCACTGATGAACGGGTTCCATAAACTTCGTAATATAACGTCTTACGAAGACGACAAACCGGTATACAACCTGTCATCAGAGCATCTGACGAAGCAGTCAGTGAGTGTGCTACGGCACGGGACCACTTTTTACACAGGTAATGCCAAAACTGTCAGCAGGATAGCAAATATCCAGTCCTCCAGTCTTCAATCAGGCGGGAGCGGTAGGCGTGACGAAGACCCTTACTTGTCACGAACTGTCGTCTCCGTCCACGATTCAAAAGCCGTGTGATACAATCCTCGATTTCGAACACGATGCACTAAAGGAATTCAATGGACGCGGGCAGCGGATGGTCCTATATCGTATATGACAGACAGACAGACAACCTCCAGAAAGTCTAATGCTTGCCGGATGGCCACCGGCTCGGTGTCCCATGCGAAACAAACTCTGTATGAACCACGAGAAGCAAACTCAGTGCGTATTTTTTGGCAAGGAATGACCCTTGTCCAATATCACCAATCGACCCACGCATGATAGCTGCCTTAATCCGCTTTTATGCCCTTTCCTAAGGTAAGCAAACAAGGCGCTTCCCTCTGGTCAACTTTTGAACTGACTAAGTGGCTGTTTCGGCGCCTTGAATTTCTGAATGGTGATTCCGGCGCCACAATCTGTTTGTCATCAAAATTCTTAGAGAAACTTAAGGGGGTGATTGTCCAACTAATTGATGTCATGTTGTCTTTCGGAATCAGGTTCATGTTTACCCCTCTTTCTCATGATCTAGCTGCTGCGATCATCAGATTACCTTTGGAAGGTTAATGTGGTGAGACTTAGAGTAGCCTAGAACACGCTTCAGTCCCCCGATGGCCAAAGTACGCTTTAAGACACACTTCACCCGAAAGAAAATCTACGAGGAGATGAAAGGCACGCCAGCGAGTTTAGCGATTTCGGGACCCATAGCCATATCGGTTTCGCAGCGGTATGAGGCGCTGATTTTCCAATATCCCAGACCAAGAGTTCAAGCTCAAACTGTGGACGACACGCTCCTCTTTATGGAACAGGATGGGAGGTAGACATTTAAAGAACATCTGGCAACGGTATAGTGGAGGACCCCATTTAACTGACGGTGGACTGTGGATCGTGTCTCATTTGCCTGTCGTCGCAAAAATTACACTACCAACAACGATTACTTCCCACCTCCTCACACCTTAACTCAAAATCCGTTATTTTGTGAAAGTTACTTTTTGTTTATTTTTTCATTACTACTCTCATTTCCGTTGTCGTATAACAACGTACGATAAGACTTTCGGCATAAATCCAGGCACTTTCTGTGTTTCCTTTCATTTTTTCAGCTTACTATCTAGCGTGCTGCCCCACTCGTAAAACTTCCCTTATCAAAAATCACGTATGACACGATCCACGGCCAACTGACAGTTACTTGGGGTCCTTCTCTATACTGTCGTCGAAAATCAAAACGCCGTTTTGGGCATACAGTTTGCGATGGAAAAGAAGGGAAATAACCAACTAGTTTTTCATGATGTCCACTTATGCCGCAAAAATAGTAGTGGCCTGAAAGATAGTGTTCTGGAAAGCGAAAGATAGGAAGTTAGTGCTCAGCTTCAACAACAAAAATTCGATCGGCCGCAAACATAGTAGTGCAAAGATGCTCCGTTTGGCGTCTTGAGACGCAATGCCGGGAAGCAAATGACAGAGTTGTCGAATTGCAGTACTTTTATGGGTACTT